ATATAGCAAGTTCTATCGCGTATACCATGTGGAGTGTTTCAACGAAGTTTTCAGATTAATACCTGCGGTTAAAATTCATCATCAGAGGTCAAGACAGAATGCACCACCATCCACCCGTTCTACTTTGACGTCGGGCGTTCCACGATAAAGCGCTTTTAAAGGCAGTTATTGCCGCCCAAAACCACTTTATGCCACCAGCTGCCATTCCAACTGCCAGCCACAGCAGAGCAGAGCAATTCGACTTAGGGTGCGTCAAGAAAATGGCGTACCAATTCTTAAAATGTCGGTCACTTAACATCAGATGAGCTTCTTGCCCGTTTGCCTCCACTAACTTAAAAACTGGCAACGCGTTTGTAAAGAAACAAACTTAATATACGATTTTAGTAGCAGATTTAGAAATAAGGCTGCCCCGTTTGCTATTAGGATATTAATGTCACTTAGAACAAAACCAAATTTATCGTTTTTACATTTGAATAATTCAAAATGTTATTTTTAAACGTCAATACATAAATGTTTCACGTTTATGATAAATTGCAGCTAATATCAGTTCAATTTCAATCAGCGGAGATGAAAATCAAACAAAATGATTGATTGTGGCAAAGCGGACTGTTTGTTGACGTATCCAATTATCACAAATACCCGCTAATATTGGTACTTCATCTGATAAAATTTACTTTTTTTTTATTATTATTTTTTTTTACTAATAATACTTTTTTACAGTCAAAATTAAGCTACAAATGCTTTAATCAACGTATCATTTAAATATAAAAAATAATTTGAGGTGTGCAAATCAGCGAGTTTATAAGTCAATAAAGTAATTTTATTTTTAAATTCGCTTTTATATCTGTTTAAGTAGTTTTATCAAATGTTGTTTACTTACGTAAACTAAAGGTGCAAATAGTAAACAAACGTAAAAATAAACTACTGGAATCTCTAAATTAAGAGTATTCTGTTGCATTTTGTATGCAGTCAAAGGTTCAATGTATGTTTACGATCAAAGCGTTCATGGTACGACGCCTACGAACCGCTACGAGCAACGCGTCTGCATTATTCACGTAGCTATGTGTGGTTCTATGAAGTACTGTAAGCTACGAAACAAATAATTTTAGGAATACCTTATCAAGAACTTGTAATACATTTTCAATTAAAAAATACCTTGAGTTAATTGCAAATAATTAAAGATTATTTTAACATATTACATACATATATAACATAGTATATTTTTTATACATACATAGCTTCTTGCATAATTCCTGACCCTTCGCTTGCCCCGGAACGAATTCGTAAATGCAAATTCTATTTTTTTTAGGAAAAATATAAATGGTAATGCTATTATTACTAGGATACTAAGTACATTGCAAATATAAAAAATTAAAGCTATTTTTTCCTATTCGACAATTTTAAAAATTTGTTATGCATTTAGTGTAAATTGTTAAAAAATAACTAAATATATTACAGTAATTTATTTAATTAGTCTGAAGAGCAAAAGTGTTTTTCGAATGTTTCACTGTTAATATCACATAATTACGGACGATACAGTAACCGCACATTACGACGGTAATTTTTATGAATGTCGTAATAATTAATTACCGCACTTTTTGCGATAATATTGGCGATAAAAATGGTATTTCCTTTTAAACTGTCGCATTAACTTTAATGATTATTTCGTAGTACACTTCGTACACTCTAAACTAAAAATATCTTTATGGTTTTTGCGATCTATTTCAGGAAAGTACAATTAGGCAAACGACTAATATTGTGCATAAAATAATTTCTTTAGAATAAAGACATCCTCGTGTTTTTTTATAATAAAATGAAATATCTAAAAAAATTACAGTTATAGTCGATGTTCCTATGAAGTCAAAAATGAGAAAACATTAAAACCGTCGTAACAGTCGTAATGACTTTGTTCTCCGGGGCAACCGAATTATATATCTTAATAAAACCATCCAATTCGGCGGTAAAATACAAGCATACAAACATACTTTGTAATATGAACGTAAAAACCTCTTACGTAGTTTCAGAATTAATTTCGCGTAATTCCCGTGAGTTTGCGTCAACTACCTGTTTGCCAACGCCCGATAAGGGTTTAATTAAAACACAACGATGCAATTATAACGGAAATTACTTTGGATTGCGTAGCAAATTGGTTGGATAATTAAATTTTACCTGTCCATTGTGAGTTGTATGAAATTCTATCAAAATATTGAAAATTTTTACGCCTGCGTTGAATAAATAGATTTCTTATACTAGTGTATTTTAAAATTTAATTGTAGCTTTAGTTTGATTCTCAACCCAAAATATATTTAATATTAAATGTTTTGGACACACTAACACAGTGTAACTCACACTTTGACACTAAAACTATCTAAACAGTGACCCTTTCTGTCTTCGACCCTCCCTCGTCACCCTCCACTCGTCTTGATCGTTGGGGACTCTCTTCCAGTTCTTATACTTCCCCATCACGCATAAGTCCTCGTCTGTATCTTTTCATGTGGGACTGAGTAATATTATTGTATGCCCTGGTCTTCGCGATACGCTCCAAATACCATAATTTCATGGATATGACTGTATTATTATCTTATATATTTTATACAGTTTTGTGAATTTTATTCCACTGAATTCGTTTTTTAAGTTTACTACGTTTAAGGAAATACTTAGTTTATCCGATCGAATTGTGGTTTAGTAACATTTATATTTTAATTTTGGAACGTGTATTTTTTTGTTTTCTAAAAGTTTTAATTTCGATTCCTTTAAAGACTTATTTATTTCTAAAAAGAAACGCGTATACGATATCTATATATATAAAACAAAGTCGTGTTAGTTACACCACTTATAACTCAAGATCGCTTGGACCGATGTTAGTTATCTCTTTTTATGGATTTTTCTCCGCTCCGAATAGCAGAATAAGTAATAAAATATCGTAAAATTTAATTAATTTATTGTTATCGAATAACAATAAATTAATTAATTTTACGAATGAAAACACCATGTGGTGCCATCTGTTAACAAAACTACGCATCATTTTACATCGAATTCGTGTCAGTTCAAGAAATTCCGATCTTGAGGCGAATGAGGAGATGCATAAACAGGCTTTGATCTTGATCGAAGATATGTGTTACCTCATCAAAAAATGTTGTATATCAGAAAGTTCTTTTAACATGCAGTGTCGCAATATTGGCGCTAGAGAGAAGAAGCCTAATGTGTAAAACTGTAATTCTTCTTTCGCAATGGCTAGCAATTAAACATTTCTGTATTTGCTTCTGTATTAATCTCTAACTAAAGTTAACACGATATTATTAGACTGTTAGGCGGAATGAAGTTAGCCGGGTCAGCTAGTTAATTGTAAAGCAAAACAACAATAAGTTTGACATTTGTAGACCACATACATTGTAGGCCTGGTAGGGCTTTCGTGTCATATAAGTTTTGACATTTACCTGTCACATCGAAGTTGTGATTAGTTTATGGAAACAATGGGTATTATATACATTGATATACAAAAAACCCAAGATGCACGGTCTCGAATAAAAGTAACGCTCGAAAGTGTCCCGAAACACTATTTCTGTCTCTTTCTATAAGTTACAAGCATATATTATTGCAAAATCAACCTTACGCGAATTGTTTAAGGTTGTTATTACAACGCAGTGTACTTAAAGCAATAAAATTTTACGACCGACCGTGGTCGGTAGGACAAGGTATTGAGTGGAGTCGAACATGACTTTTTTATTTACAACTATTTAACATAATTTTAAATTTATCCCACGTTTCGCGTGCTTTACAGCGTGCGTGGTCACGGTGACTGAATACAAAAGGTGTTGGATGTTAAATAGTTGTAAATTTATAATAATACATAACTTTAATCCGGTTAAAAAGTTTTTTCTTTAAATTAAAAAAAATGTTAAATTGGCTACCTCCTGACCTACACTTTATATAGCGTAAATATATTTGTCAAAAACTACACACAAAAAAAGTTCAAAAGTACATTAGTATTTATTTATAAAAAAAACACAAATTAATAACATCGACTCCACTTATTAGAACAGGGTCATTTTTATAATGCGACTAAAATAAAAAGAAGACTGTAATGCGTTGTTCTAACACTGAACAAGCAGCCATTGAAGTTGGCCGTATAGAAGTTTGTGCGTTGAATGAAGTTTTTAGAAAAAATAAATAAAAATCACACATTGCTTGTTATAATCAGTCATAAAAACAACAAAAACTAATCAATAAAGTTTTTTACTTACCGAAAATACGATATCCCATCCTTTTTTAGCCTTCTTGACGTAATATTTTTACAATTTCTCACAGAACACTTTGACATTTTCGACAACTGCTCCCAGACGCGAGCGACGCGAGACTATTTGAAATGAGCGCACAATTTAGAATGTTGCGCTCATTTTTTGAGGACGTTTTTTAGACGTTGATTGTGCATCTTGAGTTTTTTATATATGACTAATATGAAATAATAAAGGAACAATTCGTAGCTTACAAATTTCATAGAGACTGAAAATGTTTAATTTTATAACTTTAAATTTAATTTAAATTTATTGTTTTTTTTTATTTTTGGTAATTAAGTGGGCCGTTAAAAAACCTTCAGTTACTGGGTTAAAATCTAGTTTACAGTTTATGTATTATTAAAAAATAGACGTATTTTATGTATGTTTGCGTCTTAATTATATCTTGGTATTGTTAGTTAGTATAGCTGGGACTTTTTTTTGCACAGCGTATCAACATTGGAAATCAACAAAGACATTAAGCGAATGGCATATTTGGTCGAGTTTTTTAAGTCATATTTATATACCAAAATAACCATTCTTTTACTAGTATATGTTATGTCTTTTCGTGGTTAAATTAAAAATAACGATATCTATTAAACAAATTTATTGATCAACTGTGTATTATTTACGAGATGTGGAATACAGACTCCTTTAGTTACGTTAATTTATTCTTTCGTTTATGAACCTTATTTTATTTACTATTGATAAAATTTATGTTTCAGAATGTGGTCAACACTTCCGGCGTGGTTAATCACAATTTGCGTATGCGCTTGCGCTCAACGCATCGACCAGGAGCCCTTGCTTTCTCCACGCCAGTCGCGGGTTCGAGACCGGGAAGTGAAACCTGATGAACCTACCTGTGACCAGCTGAAGGCTATGTGGAGGTACAGAATTTTTTTTGGCAAATTTTTATAAGCACGATCTGTAAATTCACCGCTTAGCAAATGTTTGTTTGAAATCCCGTAGCCTCAGGATACACATAATTAATAATTTTATTATTCGTTCAAACATAATATTATGGTATATTTAACTATGCCTATGTTATATATACCATAATATGTTTGAACGAAGAGTATAGTGTAAGGCAATGCATCAAAGGCTTTTACGACTACGAACTAAAACCTAAATAAGGCTCTAGTTTCACACAAATATTTGACTATAGTCTGAGATGTCAATCCGAAAGAGGTGAAATACCTCGTGAACTACGAAATAGCACAATCGGGATTCCTCTACATCAGGAATGTCGTACGAAACGCACTGAGGTTTTCACGTCAAAACGGAATTTGTACAATAAACGCCAAAGTACATTTTGTAGTACATTTTGCATAAGAAATTCTTGTGAGTATAATATACAATTTACTTTAAATATATAATAATGAAATTTATAAACATCGTCTCCTTAGTTTTCGTGAGTTAAACTAATTTTATATTCTTTAAGGAATTTTTATATAAATTTGAATAAATAAATAATATCACCTTTTTACGTCTGGGCCTCAGATTTTTGTAGCTGTTTCATGCTTATTTGTCAGTCTAATAGACAAGTAAGTGATCAGCCTCCTGTGCCAGATACACGCCGTCGACTTTTGGGTCTAAGGCAAGCCGGTTTCCTCACGATGTTTTCCTTCAACGTTCCAGCGAATGTTAAATACGCACATAGAAAGAAAGTCCATTGGTGCACAGCTGGAGATCGAACCTACGACCTCAAAGATGAGGGTCGCACGCTGATGCCACTAAGCCAACACTGCTCTTATAAATTATAAATAACTTGACATTATACGCGCTCTACATAAATTATAAAATAAATTCGCATCACTTAAATAAGTTTAATTTAAACGTGTTTAATTACTATTTTATTAAAACCAGACAGATCACCTATGACAAAAAACCAATCACCAATCACAAATTTGAGGCTACTGATTTCTTTTTTTTTTGTAGACACTATAAACAAGTCATACTAACTCATTACTCTTTCACAAATAACTCATTGTTTCGTTGCCTGGTTCCCATTATTTTCTCGTGTACATATTGTATTTGAATTCTGACTGTAACTCACACAAGGGTTTCCAATATTTAGAATCCTTTTCTATTCAATACTTTGCCGGCGGCTTATCGATTTTATGAGGATTTAATAATGGCTTGATATCGTCTACGAATTTATATACGATTTCTGATTGGTACCTCAATGTTGGCATAGCCTCTGTTCGATTCACTTGTAAACAAAATCAACTAAGAATACAGTTACAATTATTTATTATATTATTACGATTTTCCTCTAAGTATTTTTACAGCATTAACCGAATTATTAAGGAATTGAATCTCAACCCAAAGGTCGTGGTTTAAACCCTGGCTATGCTTCAATAGATTTTACTTCGTATGTGTGCACTTATCAAGGGTAAATTAATAGTGACGTTTATTCATTTCCTATTTTTACAGTATCGTAATACTAATATAATACAATACTTAATAATATAAAAAATTAAAATATAAACAAAAAAGCTTATTATAAATAATGCAACTCTTGTGAATTCAGCCAGTGTGCAATTTAATATATCCGTCCGCAATAACATTCAGGGTGTCTGACATGTCTAACTTCCAGACCAACTTGCTTATAAAAACATATCAAGGAAACACACAAAAAGTGTCTATGAAACGAACTTGGCACTCATTTAGATTTCAGATTCTTTGTCGTTGGCCACGTATATAATATTTTAAAACTCTTAAAACTCTTTCAAACAGCCCATGCTTGATATTCGTCTCCAAACATGCCTGCCTATTAAATTTGCCAATTAAGATACCAAGAGGATTAAGTACTTATATACATAAACGGTCAACAACGTGTAAAGGCGTTGTTAAAATCATTGATCTGTAATAATCTAGGGACAAACCAGAGTATACCTATTAACAGTTGTCCAATTCGATATTAAAGAGTATACATGTATAACTTATACATGAAGCTTTTGTATATTACATCGTATTTTATAGAATGGGATTCATGGGATGATGTTGGATGGTTTGAGGATGGTGCGGAACCCATCCTACATACCCTATTACTATTTTTAATTGAAGTATAACATTTGAATCGTATAGAGCAGTGTTGGCCTAGTGGCTTCAGCGTGAGACTCTCATACCTGAGGTCGTTGGTTCGATCCCCGGCTATGCACCAATGGACTTTCATTCTATGTGCGCATTTAACATCTGCTCGAACTGTGAAGGAAAACATCGTGAGGAAACCGACATGTCTTAAACCCAAAAAGTCGACGGCGAGGCTCTGGAGGCTGATCACCTACTTGCATATTAGATTTAAAAATGATCATGAAAAAGATTCAGAAATCTGAGGCCAAGACCTAAAGAGGTTGTAGCGCCACTGATTTATTTTATAACAACTGAATCAATACTAAAAAATATTCGCAGTCAAATACTTGTAGTTAAACATGCCGTACGGAATACGTCAAAGATTTTGTGTTCTAAACACTGTGGCAGTGGTCTTTGCAGGATTACAATAAGTGAGAGACCGTCAGGGCACAATCAGGCATGAAATTGAATAAGCTCTCGTATTTTACAAGCCAAACAATTTGTTTTAAGACCACGGCTATAAAAACAGCTGAAATATTGACCCTTGGTCCGTAGAATACGTTTGAAATATGGTGTTCTCTATAAGACCCGAGTTTCCTCATTTATTATTATATAAACGCTATCTTTATTTCCATATATTCGCATGAAGGGTACAAAGATGGAGAAAGGTCGAGGCAACATATAAAAATGCTGTGTGATAACCCTGTGACGGCGTAACTCTTTTTGCTTCAGGATCTCTGTTTTATACAAATATACTTTAAGTATAATAAAATAGCCTATATTCGAGCACTCAAAAAAAGTATCTTTACCTAAGAAAACAAATCAGCTTTGACAAAGACAAACTGCTAAGAAATTGAAAGGCGAATTCAACATACTTGGAACAAGTGCTGGAGTCTAAAGGCATTTATAAAGCAATATGGCAGTAAAACTTAAAACACAGCTATGTTAAGCTGCCTCTTGCTATGTCTAACATATGGCTATACTTGGAAAAGTACAGACAAAAAAAAATTTGAACGGAAAAAATTAAAAATTAATAAGATAAAACAAAAGACACTCAAAGATTAGAAGCATTACTAAAGCTTCCGTTGCCCTAAGCTGCTAGCATTACAGCTGCCTCTAGCTAGATGCAGCGTGTCGTGCCATGACTGAGATACCTAGAAATCGTAATCTCAATTTAATAGAATTAATAGTGCAGGACTGTGTTTTTGTGTTGATATTGGTAAACTGTGAAATCATAAACATCATTCATTGTGACTCCATGACACTCGATCGTGCGTGACTCGGCCTAACGCGTAAGCGCCGCTAACTGCACGGCGCTTAAGCCCTTTTCGACGAGAGCTCGCCTCACCGTGCTTCGCCGTGTACTGTGTTCCGACTACTTAGCGTTGGATTGTTTTTAGCACATATTAAGAGTTATCTACAAGGAATAATGGCTAAGAACTGTGCCGGTTGTAAGGCCGCTGTCACTGGCAGGGAGTTCATGAAATGCTGTATCTGCTGCTTGGTTTATGACTTGCATTGTGCGAACGTTTCCAGTAAGCGATTTTATCTAATGTCCATTGAAAATAAGCAGTCATGGAAATGCTTAGAATGCCGCAGCTCGGAACCTAAAACGGATAATACAAATACCCCTATTCGCCCGGGCACAGTAGCATCGAATGATGCGACTAACGTCACCTTGAGAGACGGTAATAAAAATAAGAATCGTCGCAAAAGCTCTGACGACTTGCCGAGTCTTGAGCACAGTGTGATGTCCAATGATACTCTGCGTGCCATCGTTAGGGAAGAATTGCAGGAAATGTTTCAGTCTTTCTTAAAAAAATCTTTAAATGAGATCGTATCAGAGGCGTTCAAAAATTTCAACGATAAGATCTCTTCACTCGAATCTGCGTTGAAATTCTGCAACTCTCAATTTGAGGACATGAAGAAAATTTTTGAGGACAATGTGAGCACGATCTCCTTGCTACAAAAGCAAAACGAGACTCTTCAATTATCAGTAAATGACCTCACCAGTAGACTAGCGTTGGTGGAACAGCATATGCGCGAGGCGAACGTTGAAATTGGCGGACTCCCTGAGCATTCTTCTGAGAACTTGGCAAATACTGTGGTGCAATTGTATAAGCTGGTAAAACAACCCTTGGCCGAGGGAGATGTGCTGCAAGTGACTCGAGTAGCGAAATTAAATAGGGACACTCCACATCCTCGCACCGTAGTAGCGAGGTTCCGCAGCCGAGCTGTTCGAGATCGTCTTCTTGCGGCCGTATCGAGTTTTAATAAAGCCAACCCGAAGGAAAAGCTTAACTCCCACCAACTGGGATTGGGCGGCGCAAGGGTTCCTGTTTATGTCTCTGAGCATCTGAGCCCCACGAACAAGCATCTACATGCTGCTGCTAGGCGCAAAGCTAAAGAAGTTGGTTTCAAGTTTGTTTGGATTCGTGATGGTCGCATATTTGCAAGAAAAACGAGACCAGCCAAGCTGTTTGCATTCGTAGCTTGGAAAGTCTAAAGCTTATTAGTTAATTACTTCCTGACCATACATTTAAACAGTTCTATGGATCCAATGGCAGGATTAAATATTTACTACCAAAACATTAGAGGTATGCGTACGAAGACAAATGCAATTCGTCAAGAAATACAAAAACATGATTCCGATATCATCATAATGACGGAGACGTGGCTTGTGCCTACTATATGTACTTATGAGTTTATTGACCGACGATATACTGTCTACAGAAGGGACAGAATACCGATGGACGGAGGTGGTGGCGTGCTTATTGCTGTGAAAAATACCATTAAGTCTGTACGAATGCAAGCATGGGAAACATCATGTGAGGACATCTGGGTCCTGTTGGATATCGAGGCACCTCACTCAAACGTGAAAAGAGTTGGAATTTGCTGTCCCTATTTTCCTTATCCAACGAAGGATATTCTAGAATGTTTTTGTGCTAATGCAACGAGTGTCATACAGTCACTGGATGCAGTAGTAATTGCTGGTGACTTTAACTTGCCATATATATCTTGGTCTCGTGATGACAATCTTGATACAGTCCTACCAACAAATTATGAATACCCTCTTGGATATGCGTTGGTAGATTTTGTTAACTTAAATAACTTAAAGCAATTGAACTATGTTAAAAACTTTAATAATAGAACTTTAGATTTAGTATTCACAAATGTGGCTAACGCAACACTCGAGAGGCCAGTGGATCTCTTAAGTAAGCTTGATGCTCATCACCCTCAGTTGTTTGTTGTTCTGGATTTAACAGTCGCGTTTCTGCCGAAGTTGCCGCACATTGGTTTTAATTTTTACCGGGCTGATTATTCGATGATATTTAAAGAGTTGCGTGGGATCGACTGGCGTCTCGTTTTCTCTGTGACAAATAGTATTGATGAGATGACTGAAATCTTTTATGAACATATTAATAGTATAATCAAACAACACGTTCCTAAATTTCATCGAAAATCTCATAATTACCCACCCTGGTTTAATAATTCACTTCGAAAATTATTCTCGGAAAAGAATAAACTTAGGCGTCGGTCACGTAAGTACAATAACCCCCGTGATGAATTTGAGTACAAAATTCTACGCGAACGATGTAATAAGCATTATTCAGAGTGTTACTTGGCCTATATACGTAACACAGAGGAGGCCATAAATAAAGATCCCAAAAAATTCTGGAAATACCTCAGTGAAAGACGAAAAAATTCAAATGCGTTGCCATCGCTCATGAAACATGACAGTGGGACTGGCTCAACGGGCAATGAAATAGTAAATTTGTTCGCCACACACTTTTCATCGACTTTCAATAACGATGTCTACGAACTGAATAATAGTACTACCTCTGCTTATACCCATCCTGATTATATCATGGCTAACCTATTATTAAGCAAAATAGTTTTCCAAGAGGCAACCATACTAAAGGCTTTAAAAAAACTGGATCCTACAAAGGGCGCTGGGCCAGACGGTCTACCACCCCTTTTCGTGAAGAGGTGTGCTGCCGAGCTCGCTTTCCCTCTTACTCTTATTTTTAATTCTTCCCTGGACAAAGGAATATTTCCTACTATTTGGAAAGAAGCACGTATTATCCCAGTATATAAGAAGGGTGAAAGGGAAAGCGTAAAAACCACCGACCTATCTCGATTCTGAGCACGTTTTCAAAATTGTTTGAGTCAGTTATATGTGAAATTCTCACTTATCACGTTAAACCTATGATAAGTGTGAGACAGCATGGTTTCCAGCGCGGCAGATCTGTGTCTACGAACCTGGTTCCTTATGTCACAACTCTCATGGAGCATGTTGATAAGCGGATACAAGTAGATGCGATATATACTGATTTTAGTAGCGCCTTTGACAAAGTTTGTCACCATATATTATTAAAAAAATTAATTACATTTGGTGTTTGCGGATCCTTACATTCTTGGTTTGCATCGTACCTTAAATTCAGATCATCAACAGTGGTGACAAATGGTTATGCATCAAAACCGTATGTGGCAACTTCAGGCGTGCCTCAGGGCTCTCACCTCGGGCCAATTTTATTTATTTTATTTATAAATGATATAGTAGATCATGTTCATTATAGTGAATGTTCATTGTTTGCCGATGACATGAAATTGTTTAAGACAATAACTTCAACGAATGATATTGCTCTATTGCAAAAGGATTTACTTGCCATACACACTTGGTGTAAAAATAACCTCATGATTTTAAATGCTGGTAAATGCTTTCATATAAAATTTACTAGGAATAAAAACTTATTCCAATCTTCTTACTCAATTAATGGAGTTGCTCTTGAGGAGGTTGATCGTATACGAGACCTTGGTGTGACGCTGGATAGTGCTCTCAGTTTTACTCCTCACCACGAAATAAAGCGCAAATTCGGCCCCATATGGAGTACTGCTCTCACCTCTGGGCGGGAGCTCCCCAGTACCAGCTCCTTCCACTTGACCGTATTCAACGAAGAGCGGTTCGAATCGTCGACGACCAGTCACTTTCCGTGCGGCTTGATCCCTTGGCGTTGCGTAGAGATGTGGGATCTCTCTGCATCTTCTACCGCATTTACCATGGAGAGTGTTCAGAGGAGTTGTTCGGTCTAATACCTGCAGCTGAGTTTCATCATCGGACGTCAAGGCAAAATACAAAATACCATCCGTATCACCTCGACGTCCGTCGTTCCACAACAGAGCGTTTTCTAAGGCAGTTTTTGCCGCGCACCACCACTATGTGGAACCAGCTGCCCACAGAAGTATTTCCGAACCAATTCGACTTAGGGTCCTTCAAGAAAAGAGCGTACCAATTCCTGAAAGGCCGGCAACGCACTTGCGAGCCTTCTGGCATTGTGAGTGTCCATGGGCGGCGGTATCACTTAACATCAGGTGAGCCTCCTGCCCGTTTGCCTCCTATTACATAAAAAAAAAAAAAAAAAAAAATTCTAGCGAAATCATTTCAGATGCTCGGTTTCATTAGGCGTAATACCACTGACTTTAAGAATGTTAAAACTCTTATTACTCTGTACAATGCATTGGTGCGCAGCCACCTTGAGTACGCTAGTGTTGTGTGGAATCCCACATACCAAACACACAAGTATGCACTAGAACGTCCTCAAAGAACATTCACACGGTTCCTGGCGTACAAAACCCCTAAATTTTGCTACAGAAGGGATTATGTTGATCGATTACAGAAGTTCAATTTGCAAACTCTCGAGGATCGTCGTATGATTGTGGACCTGGTGTTTTTGTACAAGTTGATGCACGGCACGATTATTTGTCCAGATATTTTAAAAAAGATTTACTTCGTAGTGCCTAGAATCAACGCAAGAAGAAGACAGACTAATACTTTTGTCGTTCCACAGTCCTTAACCAATCTAGGTAAGCATGCGCCCCTCAGTAGAATGCTTAGGAATTTTAACCAATGTAGTTGTAGACATAGTCTTGACGTGTATTATGACTCACTTCCTAGTTTTAAGAAGAAAATTCAGTCATCTCAGCCATAAGTCATGTAATATTTACCACGTTTCAATTTATCTATGTTTAAAGATACAAATACTTAAGTAAACTCTGTCCGCTATCATTTATTAGAGTCAATGTTGTGTACACCTATTATTAGATTGCATGCTAGAATAAAACCCAATATTGTTAATTAGAAAATATATACATGTAATCTGTTGGTGTTCCTTAATAAATAAATAAATAAATAAATAAATAAATCCTTGAAGGAGGCTGTCACCTGCTGAGGGGTGACAAACCAACTTGAAAATAGATATTATTCAGTACAGACAATTAATTTTCATTAAAAATTATAATAGGATTAAGCTTACTTTTATTTTGCAAGAAAAGGTTTTTTTTTATTTAATTTTATTCCTATTTTGATATTAAATACTAATAGACGACCTCCGAAGCAGTGAATTATCAGCCTCCTCATTGTTCCACTAGTCTCTAATCTTCGTCGAACGACACAGGCTTACAGAGGTGTTAAATTCTCAAATGTATAATAATTTTGTCATAAAAATATTGTGAATAAAATTCACTATTAAAAATTTCCTTTGCTTACAGGTTTTCGAAAAGGCAAGCCCGAGCTCCTGAAATTATGAACGAGGTTAATTCCTACCGCGATCCGTTGCTGTACAATGAATGGCCCGTCTACACAGCCGTGCCTAGGGCTGCCCCAAGGTAATTTTATTTATCACTTTTTCTCAGAACAGAAATAATGCAACAAACGCAAAGCTCTGACGCCAGGTCCACCAGATCTATCTTAAGTTAATAGAATTTCCTAGAAACGGGAGAATAGACACTCCCCTGTAGTTTGGCCCGTGGATGGCAAGGGCGTCTTTATAAAAAAATGAGTATGAGTCTTTATAAAAAAACTTCAGTGAGTACAATAAGTGACGATCTCATCCAGTTTTACGTCTCATCAGCATATAAAACTTAACATTTTGAATTGTTTGAGCATTTTTGTATTTAGAATTACGAGTGTTTTATTTTAACTTCACGCCGCTGTTGTTCAATTGTCAAGTGCTTCATTTTTTCCCGATACGATTCCAAGTGAATTTTCAAGTTTGGTCAGGCAGAATTCATCATCATAAAAAAAATATATAGAGCATATATACGGGGAGTCAAATAGCTTATGTACCCTTTATTTACCTTTTTCTTGGGCGTCGGGACGTGACGACCCCATCGCCCACTGGTGAAATAACCTGTGACAGAGGTTATTTCATCAGCGCAATCAGTCAACCCCTTCCTAGTGGGAGTGCCATGCTGTTGCCTTCGGGCTTCAGCCAAATGGGCAGGCACGACCGGGGCAGTACCACTGTCTCTCAGAAAACCGGCGTGAAGTGATGCAAAAGGTTCGCCTTCTTGTACTCGCGTTTCGTGCGGTGAGAGAGATTCCCGGAGCCCATCCCCCCCACACAAGAAATATGAAGGTGCAGAAAAAACAGAATCTACCCCAGGGGGGTACCACACGCGCTCGCAGTGGAGAATCCCCCTCTGGGCGTCCACCACCGGGACACTCAGCACCCGGTGGTGGACGCACAGGCTGCCCTTCGTATTCTGGGGGGCAATTCTGCGCTCTACAAAAATAGTAATCGTCCTCGGGGCAAACGGAGCAATTATACAAAGGCACCCCCGTCCACACTCGCCGTGGACTTCACAAATGTTAGGGGGCTTAATTCTAACATCAACGCTGTCCACTATCATCTAGAGACTGCGAAGCCGGCCTTGCTCTTTCTTACCGAGACTCAGATGTCCTCCCCGGCTGATACTTCCCACCTATCCTACCCGGGGTACAAATTGGAACATTCATTTGTGCCGCGGGCTGGAGTTTGCGTGTACGTCAGAGAGGATATCTGTTCTCGTCGCCTCGGGACGCTTGAAGGAAGGGACCTATCTAACCTCTGGCTGCGCGTAGACTGCGATGACCATCCGCGATTCTACGCATGCCTGTATAGGTCCCATAGCGGAAATACCGAAACTGACCGACTCATTGAGCACATCCAAATGGCTACAGATTCCCTGCTCGAAAGGGTTCCTACCGCTGAAATCGTGATACTTGGCGATTTTAACGCCCACCATGTCGATTGGCTCGGCTCTGAAACCACCGATCACGCGGGAAGATCCTTTCACGACTTTGCTTTAGCCTACGACCTGACACAAATGGTCCCTGCGATTACGCGAATACCAGATGTGGATGGTCATAAACCCTCTTTGTTGGACCTTCTGCTGACTTCTCATCCGGAGAACTATCAAGTCTCTGTTGACCCGCCATTGGGTTCATCAGATCATTGTGTGGTCCGGAGTACTGTGCCATCTACGCGCCCTTCACGGCCCCGCTTTATGGGTTGTCGCCGTATTTGGCACTATAAGTCAGCAGATTGGGACGGGATGCGGTCTTTCTTTGCGTCCTACCCTTGGGGGCCTATGTGCTTTTCGCCGGAAGCTCCAGATTCCGTCGCCGCCTCTGTCGCCGAAGTGGTTCTGCAGGGCATGGAACTCTTTATTCCATTTTCTGCGGTGCCGATCGGTGGCAAGTCTCAGCCCTGGTTTAAACGTTCTTGCAAGGCGGCCTCGCGTCGAAAGCGAGAATGCTTTAAAGCATGGGCGGAAGCGGCGAAATCTCGTGATGCCAATACCAGCGAACTTAAAAAAGCATATAACTCAGCCTCCAGGTCCTTCAAACGGGAAATCACTAAGGCAAAGTCAGAGCACATTGCCAGATTTGGCGAGAGATTGGCCCAACTCCCATCAGGGACTCGAGCCTTCTGGTCTCTCGCCAAAGCTGTCCAAGGGAATTTTTGTCAGCCCGCCATTCCGCCACTGCTCAGGGAGGATGACTCTCTGGCCCACACTGCGAAGGAGAAGGCTGACCTTTTGGGCTGTCTCTTCGCGTCTAACTCGACTTTGGATGACCGAGGGAGATCACCACCGACCATTTCGCGGTGTGATTCTTCGATGCCGGAAATCACATTCCGGCAACGTGCTGTCCGCAAAGCACTATCTTCCTTGGACATTCATAAGTCGAGCGGGCCGGATGGTATCCCCCCAATTGTGCTGCGTACTTGTGCTCCTGAGTTGGCTCCGGTCTTAACGCGCCTTTTCCGGTACCTGTACTCGCTCGGCACTGTCCCGAAGTGCTGGAAGACCGCTTTGATACATCCGATCCCTAAAAAAGGCGATCGCTCTGATCCGTCCAACTATCGCCCAATAGCTATAACCTCCTTGTTCTCCAAAATAATGGAATCCATTGTTAATTGCCAGCTCTTGAGGTATCTAGAAGGCCACCAGCTGATTAGCGATTATCAGTACGGCTTTCGTCGTGGTCGTTCGGCTGGTGACCTTCTTGTATACCTTACTCATAGATGGGCAGAGGCAATTGAGTCCAAGGGGGAGGCGCTAGCGGTTAGTTTGGACATAGCGAAAGCCTTCGATCGGGTGTGGCACAGAGCACTGCTCTCGAAGCTTCCAGCCTATGGGCTTCCCGAGAAATTACGCAATTGGATCTCCAGCTTCCTGGCCGATCGGAGCATCAAGGTCGTCATCGACGGAGCATGTTCCGACCTAAAACCCGTAAACGCTGGGGTCCCACAAGGCTGTGTTCTATCCCCGACCCTATTTCTTCTGCATATCAATGATATGTTGAAACTTAGCAACATTCATTGCTATGCGGATGACAGTACTGGGGATACTTTTTACACTGGCCGGGCAGGTATTTCTCGGGCAGTTGTTGATGAGTACCGGAACAAACTTGTGTCTGAAGTTGAAACTCTACTTCGTGGAGTCTCAGATTGGGGCAGACAAAACCTAGTCCAATTTAACCCCAAGAAGACACAAGTTTGCGCGTTTTCCGCTAAAAAAACACCCTTTGTCGCTACTCCTCTTTTCGAAAACACTCTTCTTAAAGCCACAGCCAGCATTGGAATACTTGGCGTTGACATATCGAGCGACGTTCAGTTTCGCGGTCACTTGGAGGGAAAGGCTAAATTAGCCTCCAAAAAGCTTGGTGTGCTCAGCAAGGCGAGACGGTACTTCACTCCGGGCCACCGCATGCAACTATATAAAGCGCAAATTCGGCCCCACATGGAGTACTGCTCTCACCTCTGGGCGGGGGCTCCCCAGTACCAGCTCCTTCCACTTGACCGTATACAACGCAGAGCGGTTCGAATCGTTGACGACCAATCCCTCTCCGAGCGGCTTGATCCTTTGGCGTTGCGTAGAGATGTGGGGTCACTCTGCATCTTCTACCGCATTTACCATGGAGAGTGTTCAGAGGAGTTGTTCGGATTAATACCTGCAGCTGAGTTTCATCATCGGACGTCGAGGCAGAATACGAAATTCCACCCGTATCACCTCGACGTCCGACGTTCCACAACTGAGCGTTTCTCAAGGCAGTTTTTGCCGCGCACCACCACTATGTGGAACCAGCTGCCCACTGAAGTATTCCCGAACCAATTCGACTTAGGGTCCTTCAAGAAAAGAGCGTACCAATTTTTAAAAGGCCGGCAACGCACTCGCGAGCCCTCTGGCATTGAGAGTGTCCATGGGCGGCGGTATCACTTAACATCAGGTGAGCCTCCTGCCCGTTTGCCCCCGTTCTATAAAATAAAATAAAAATACCTAACGGCATTTGAAAGCTCAAAAATCTAAAGTTTTAATATTATCAATGTTTAGATTTATTGTAAATTCATATTCCATTGTTCATTCAATTAGTCTTGGAACCAAGATATTTTTAAGGTAGAAATGCACTGCGCGCAATTCAAGAGGTGCTAGTTGCAGAAGTATGTAACTCCCTTCAGATTCTCTGCAATGCAGTCTGGTGGGTGGGAAGTGCTCATTAAAACCACTCCATCTAACACGCAAATTTGGAGGCTTTTAGTAAAAATATTCAAATTAAATTGTGAGGTCAAAATTACTTCCAAACCATCTATTTTATTGATAATTTTTTAAGTCATGTCAACAGACTTGTTTGCCAACACAAATGATTTGTTTTGCCGGAAATCATCAAGAATGAAGTGATAAAAATTGAAATTTAAGTGTGAAATAGTCTAAACGTATATAATGTCTCCGTATCAAAAGTTCACAATGAAAGTTGCGACTTCCATTCACAGATTCACTAAGCGTATTACAATGAACAACAAGACCTATGGAGATGTTCTTTATGAAATATTATTAGTGAATGAGTTCTATAGAACATATTTTGTTCCTTGCCCTTATGTAATCTAAAGGAGTAATATTTAAGTGTCTCAGAATTGTTTGTACTAATAATAGCAACTCGGTCAATTGCCTCGAGAAGTTATCAAAGCTCAGCAAGAACCTAACGAAAGTTTTGTCGAGTACACTTATATGTCAAACGATACTTAAGCTGTATATGAGTTATACAGGTACACTATACAATTGCTTAAGAATTTAGAAAGAGAGTAGCTTTTATTAAGAATAAGCGCTACTAAAATAATCAAAGCTTTTGTTAAGACTGAGTCAGACGATTTATAATTTTTTAACTAAAATTTCATAATATTTATTTATTAACACTTCATTACATTTATAGAAAAACAAATAACATAATACATAAAAATTATAAGGGATGCAACGGGTAACGGAAGTGCATAACCAAATCTTTAAAAAAATATATAGAATCACCTACCTTAAAACCTTAATAAAATAAACTAAAAAGCTAATCCCACAGATTCATGAATTCCGATGCAATACAAAAGAATTAGAAATACAAAAATTACTTAAGTCACGATTGAGCAGGATAGGATGGTTAAGAAATGTAGAAGAGTTAATAATAGTTGTAATATTAGGCGAATTGAATCTAAAACAAACAATATATTTTATTTTATTGTATTTTTTTAATTTCTATTTTTTTGAGAAACTTATGCTTACATTAATTGTCACACATTTTAGATGTAAGATTTTGTAAAATAATTAGTAAATTTAGGACTGTGTGTGATGTCGTAAGCTTAATAACTAAATAAAAATAAAAAATACATATCAAGCAACCTTTTTACCTTTCAACTTTGATCAAATCAAGTGAGTCTTTAATACCCACGTATATTTGTCACTAAAAGCTCATTTTAAGAGGCGTGGGACGAAAAAATCTTTCCAGATTCTTTATTATATAAATGTCATACGAGTTATACGTCCCACGCAAACCCGTAATATGCCTTTATTTTAACCTATACCACTCCACGCATATCTATGTCCACTGAATACAAATTGTGTTATTCGTCATTGTAGCAGTATGCACCTGTAATTCTGTAGGTGGATTATGTTACTGTTGTTACATTTGCTCAACGGAAAGTTTGTTTAATACAGTTTTGACGATTTGCCTGTTTGGTTTGATTCTAAGGAGACTTAGTGATGCCTGAGGAACGTACCTTTGAACTCCTTTCTTCTTCTTTATACATTTCGAAGTTTTTCTTTCTATACACTATTAACATTCGTACGGTGAAAGAAAACATAATGAGGGAACCGAAAAGGGAGAGCACAGAAAATCCGAGACACTTTTTTTTCTAACTAGACTTTTTAGGCATATGTTTTTATTAAATAATCATAATTAAAATTAATTATTTTTATTATAGTTAATTGTTGAATATAGATATTATATTTCGAAATCGAAGAGTTACGTGTCCTTTCACTGACGAAGGTGGAAGGAATGTTCAATGTTTTTTGGCCTACTACTAACTATAAGACCATAAATAATTTCATATTTGTCCAGATTCCGCTACCAGTACCCGGCTATGCCACGTGAAGCCTATGGTCGAGTGATTACGAAGGCACCTCCGAATGTCGTCCGCACACCCGACTATGGAGAAGTAAGTACATTTCTATTCGCCAATTATATGATAAGGCTCGGCAGGAATAGACAACTGTTTATCCCTTTTTTTTTCAAATTAATTGAAAATGCGCTTACGCAGGCCCGCGCCATGGATGTCAAGCTTAACGCGGAGACTGTGGGGCTGGGTCTAAACTCAAAGCCCTCTGCTATTCAGAGGGGTAGCGAGACCCTACCCACTAAAAACATCGCAGCCCTTCACACGCCCTTAAGATGGGCCTACGGGGTTTGCCAAGTCATTCTACCCAAGGCGGGTCCCTTGGGTAGAAACCAAGGCTTATATCTGACCTACGAGAACTCTCTATCCCTGCCTAGGCTATAACTATATATATACTTATTATAAAATAATAATCAGTCCAATTGCACCGTGTGTAAGTGCTCATCTGTCAATTTCCATCATAGCGTAAAAATAAATTGACAGAAAGAGACGAAAGATTTAATAAAAGTTAAGTTATAAAAGCCCAATTACTGATTAAGTTTTTAGCATACAAAGTGATAGTGTTTATTTACGCGCGTATTACACATTGCCAGTGTGGCATTATACATTTTAACACACAATAATACGTTTAAAACTTAATTAAAAATAATAAAACTCTTGCAAAATATTTCGCTTGCTTGACAAAGGCTGTATTTAAATAATATAATAAACACGTCTAATCTAACCTACACAGTACATACCAAATATATTTTCAATATATCAAGCATTTTTGGGGAAATATGGCAACCAAAACATACTTGCTAAAATAATTTAAATGTAAATTAAGAAACACATTAAAATTTCAATAACAGTGTATTATTAATTTAAGATATACCAGAATTTAGAACAAAATGATATTAATATACGACATATAATAATAAAAGACCGCTAAAAGTTGTATGTTCTAGTGATTTTGTGTACAGACGTCCTCGTAGACGTCGATAAAAATACTCTTTTAATAAATGCACAAGTAACAAAAAAATCTCGGTAAATGTCAAAGCTTTTGTAGGGATCGAAACAAATGCCGAGGCCTTCACTAACTTAGATGGCACAATTACGCAACACCAAGCTCAAATCAATTCGTTTTTGACGTTGCTTTTAAGGTAATGATGAAACACCCACACGCAAGGGGCCCAAAACAATAATATTTGTTTTGTCTTGAATAATCTAAATGAATCGTTAATAGTCTGCCTCGGCCACCGGAAACGGACATTCTTGACCATATAGAATTTCGATTACAACAGAAAGTCTTGTATTTTGTCCGAGTTTTCATTTGGTATGGTTTCCGTTGTGTAATACAAGATCAAGGGCGAAAAATTGCTTAAAACTTGGCACGCCCTTACCAAGTTGGTAATTGCAAAAAAACTTGAGAATTACACAATCTCTTGTGAGTTTTCTTTTGTTTTAGTTATTACAACTTACACGAGTATCGTTGATTACAAGTACTTATTTAAAATTGAATGTTGTTCAAGTACGAAATACTTATTGCTATTTTAACTCACTAACTGTTCAGTGGTAAACTGTTAGTTCAACGCTTTTCCCTTGGCGTTGCGTAGAGTCTCTCTGCATATTCTACCGCATGTACCAGCATTTAAAGTAGTTCGGATTATTACCTGCAGCCGATTATTATCATCGGACCTTAAGGCAGAATACGAAATACCATCCGTATCACCTCGACGTCCGTCGTTCCAAAGGCCGGCAATGCACGGTTATCACTTAACTTCAGGTGAACCTTCTGCTTATTTGCTCCGTTATACGTATAACCTGCAAGATCGATTCTTTGTATAAAAAAAAAATTTGTGTCGGAAGAACGAATAATGAATGATTAGTGAAGTAGTTCTTCTGAATTTTTCACACACTTCTTCTGAGATTTCCATTTAAACCCAGCGAAATTATTTACGAGATCTTTACAAGACTATTTGTAAGTAGTTCATTGGTATAAACTATAAAGTACTATTTCGTTTTTCCGCGAAATTCATTATTGATTGGAAACAATAGACAGTTCCCACCAAATGTATTTTTAGTGTTGATTCAACGTGGGTGGATGAAACAAGGGAAAGATCGTACAAAGGGAAAATAACAACCGCAAAGAAATGGAGTGAGGGGCGATCTTTCATAATAGCTGGTAGCTAAGTTCCTAAGTATTTGCTATTTTTATTTAAACATGGTTTACAACAGAACAACAGAAATAAGCAGAGATGGCCTAGTGGCTTCAGCGTGCGACTCTCATCCCTGAGGTAGGTTCGATCCACGGCTTTCTCTCTATGTGCGCATTTAACATTCACTCGAACGGTGAAGGAAAACATCGTGAGGAAACTGACATGTCTTAGACCCAAAAAGTCGTGTGTTAGGCACTGTATGCTGATCACCTACTTGCCTATAAGATTGAAAATTGATCATGAAACAGATTCAGAAATCTGAGGCCCAGACCTAAACAGGTTGTAGCGCCACTGATTTATTATATTTTTATTTACAACAGATCCTGTTGTAGACATTTTAAAGTCTGATACCCTTTAATAATTAATATATTATGTACGCTATATAATAATTTAGTAGATTAAGTTTTGTGCAACGACGCTATTATAAAAACCATTTACGCACGTGCCCAGTAAGTGGTTCATGATAGCTACGGAAAGAGTAGCTACGAAGAAGTAAATGTAGCCAAAAGAAAATTGACATAATATGGAAATAAACATTATTTTCACTCAAAATCATCTCGATTATGCTCTAATGGCAAAACTAATAAAAATAACAAACACACTTTAATGTATTAAAGACTATTTTTAAAATCAAAGCATCATATAATTTACAAACGTTTTCCTCTGTACAAAGTAAATTGGTTCTTTGTTCACTGAAGTGACTTTTCAATCGAGTAACCAACCAAAGGACTTTCAATGTATTTAACTTTGAAAAGTTTTGGTATTAATTTTATATAGGGGTATTTTTTCGTTTATAAAACTTAGTGATTAGGTTAGTTTCGAAGTGTTTCTATTGATACAAAGTAATATTTATAGCGTCTTATGGATCTAGTGTAAGTACGTATAATGTACGTACGTACGAATAATGCCTGTAGCTTTTATTTGTGAGGACATTAAAGAATTGTTTGTCAACTTTCTGTGTTGAAATTACTTAATACATATTTACATAGTAACCACTGAATACCACATTATAAACGACGTAGCGTTCCTTACCTAAAGTAAATAAAAAACATTACACTTTAAAACAGAATAAAATTGAAAAATTCCGTTTTTACTTACAAAATAAGTTACGACCCTGCCAGGATTCGAACCTGGAATCTTCTGATCCGTAGTCAGACGCGTTATCCGTTGCGCCACAGGGCCGATAGACATCAGAATATAATTTAAAACACATATCCACGAAATTTTTGCATTGGTATGCTAATTATATAAATAAAATATATTATATAAGTCTCCTTGTTCTCTCCGCTAGTAAGTTGATGATAATTTTTCATCTAGGAACACTCACAGGTATTTAATTGTTTTGGTTCTATTACACTTATAATTATAAATAAAAAATTGAATACTTTTATGTTTAATTTAATGTAAATTTAGAGTCATATCATAATTTGACGTTCATAAGAGTACAAAGGTTACCTAAACAAATATACATCGTCTTTTACGATAAAAAGCTTTATTTAACTTAAAGCTCATCTAAATCTAATATGCTAAAATCAAATGCAACAAACGAGGAAGGTCATTACCGGAACTCTACCACTGCATACATTATGCGGCTAAATTTACATTTTAAACTGTTGTTTAGATTGTTAGCCTAAAAGGGTTCGTAATCTATTGTAAAATGTTAACAATTCCGATATACATATTTTTTACGCAAGTGTCATTCATTCGAAATTCACCACAATTATTCATATTAAGTGTATCTTCTAAGATTTCTTCTATAGCTGAAGCAGAACAGCAAGCAAAATTGTTATTATTTTGCTTCCCACTGCTTTTACCTAAAAATAATATACGTAAATTTTTAGTTACTTGTACAAGGAAGTACAATATTAGTATAGCTATATCCAGGATGCTCTCTTCCCTCGGTAAAATACTATGCGCTGGATCGGCTTTCGCATGTCATTATAATAAAAAAAGTAATCCAATAATCGATCAGACTAAGACTAGCAGTTACCATCAACGGTGGTGTGTCAACCCACTCCAAGCACTGGATCTTTAAATAATTATGGTAAATAAAATGCGGTACGGTATGCGGTCTATACATAGTGCGTACGCGACAGCGGTTAAAATTTAACTCATCACCTTGTGCCATTACGCCGGAACACCCCCTACCATTTCCGGTTTCTGTGTCAAAGTCAAAACCAACAATTGTCATGCTTCTTTGACTCCGATTTAGCCCAAAAGTTTCTTATATTTAGTACGTAATTTAGTTATAAGCAGTAAATCTTCTTAATAAGTAAAATAATAATATTGTTATTATATGATACTGTTATTTATACATCATTGTACCGATATTATTAATAAGTATACGTGACCTATTGTAAAGTATGAATCTTATCGAGTTTCCAGTATGGCTACCGTGTCGAGGCTATTATTAATTATTCAGATCAAAGGTTTAGATCGTCGTGTACATGTATGTGGTAAAATACCTGTTTAACAAAATTCTGAAATTGAAATTGTAAAAGTAAATGTTAATTACAGAACATATGAATTAATAATTAGTGTTTTGTAATTGAAATATTGTGCTAAACGAGTGTACTTTATTGGATTAATGCGCTCTTAATTAACAGAATATCACAAGTATTTTTAATTTACAATTATGAATTTTCAGTTCTGCGTGCATACCATGCTCGTCCAATTTGGTGATTTGGCATTTTTTTCTTTCTTATAACATTTATTTATATAGAAATCCCTTGTTATTTACTATATAAGTGTAATTAAATAATTTTATATACGACATTAATAATTATTAATCTTTGTGAAGCATGGAGGTTCAATGATTTCTTCGTAAAATGTATATAACTAAAGATTGTGAAATGTCATCCCATCAAAAACAAATGTGAAATGGGTGTGAAATCCCAAATATACCTAAGAGTTCTTTGCCGTTATAAATAAGACCTAAATGTGTGTTTGTTCAATAAACACATTATTCATATAAAATATAACTTAGTATCATTTGAGGCTCTGGGACTTTGATCTCCAGATCTATCAATCTCAGACATTTCTATAGATTTTTAGTAATGAGGAGGTCAAATGTTTTTTTTTATAACATACGCGGCCGCGTGATTTAATGGTAGACTTTTACTTAGATTGACTACAAAATAGCTGATACGGAATTCAAAAGAATCGCTCAATAGCGATTAATTTTTGATAAATCTCCAACTTGTGTAAGGATAAAGTGGTGGGAGACTTTGCCGCAGACGTCATGGTAAAAAACCTTCGGCTATGCTCAAAGCATCTAATTATATTCTAAAGCTTGGAAAAATACTCTAAGGACCTTTAAATAATATAGTGCAATAGAAAGATTCCTGCTCACCTCTAACTGGCTGTATCTAATATAAAATAATATTTTAATGAGCAATAAAATATGCAACATGGGTATTCATTCTGAATACGGCGTTGAATTGTTTGCTTGAAATTCAATTTAGTTATTCTGGGAGCGAAAACTGTGCCGTCAGTTCCGAACCGATGGGCAGAAACTGCGCCTCGATGATTACTGGGATATTTTCAATATATTTCAAGTTTTATTCGGTTACAAGAACTAAAAAAGAGCAATTTAAAAAATCAAACGCGTGCAAGCAGAATTCCGGCGTAATCTCGGAGATGGCATATATATATATATTTGGTAACCTTAAACCTTTTAGCAAAAAGTTTTTCGGTTAGTTTTATAAAAATTACTTGATTGTATAACAGTTTTACAATATTTTTAGTTAAAATTTGGCCATGGCTGTTAATAAATAAGTAATGTCTCTTATTGTGTTTCAGTATAAATTATTTTGTTACAGATGTTCGGAATGCTGAACGTTCCCCATACATCTGGCAAAATCCTGCGGTTCCCGGGACCTTCAAGACCTCGAGGCGGGTCCACTTTCATGGTGCCACCTCAACGGGACAGGTAAGCGATTGACCACATATTAAAACAAGTGTCAAAGATAAATCATATTTGAGTAATATTCTAGAGGATTGAAGCACATGAGAAATGTTAGTTATTGAAATTTGCTATATTAAATAAAATAAAAAAAATCTTCCACTTGTCTCTTATCCTCGCCATCCTCTCTTTTTAGGTATATTACCTTTTATAAATAAACATGTATAAACGATTTTATACTTTTGGAACTAGTGCATCCTGGAAGATTGATTGAAGATGCTGTATTGGTAAAATTCCAAAATAAAATGTATAGGCAAAATAAAATAATTAATTATAATTTTGTTCTACTCATTCCAACGTGTCTACTCAAGTATTATTTGTAACTTTTTTTTTTGTAATAGGAGGCACCTGATGTTAAGTGATACCGCCCCGCCGCCCATGGACACTCTTTTCTTGAAGGACCTTAAGTCGAATTGGTTCGGAAATACTTCAGTTGGCAGCTAGTTCAACATAGTGGTGGTGCGCGGCAAATACTGCTTTAAGAAACGCTCAGTCGTGGAACGACGTTAGACGACTTCAGTATAAGCAAAATATTAATCAAATATTGTATATTATATTTATATATATATTTAATTATATTTTGGTAGATTTGAGGCACTGAAGAAGCTTATAAGACAAGAACATATCCGCGAACTACAGAGGAAATATGAAACAGAGCAGAAACATGAACTGAAGGAAATCGTTGCGGGTAGAGGGTAAGAAAATACATAAATTTGTTTTAATAATATTATAGAATGGTTTGAAGAACTTTGTACAGTGCCCCGGTACAGCGAAAAATTCTTGTTTTTCGGTGAAAGCATTCGAATATTTAGCCAAATTAATTTGATTTCCATGCGGGTACGGGAAGTAAATAAAACATTTAGAGAGCAGTGTTGGCCTAGTGGTTTCATCCCTCAGGTCGTAGGTTCGATCCCCGGCTGTGCACTATTGGACTTTCTGTCTATGTGCGAATTTGACATTCGCTCTAACGGTGAAGGAAACATCGTGAGGCTTGCCTTAGAGCCTAAAAGTCGAAACCGTGTGTAAAGCCACAGGTTTTTTTTTAATTAGTATGTATCTTTTATGTTACTAGTAATTAGGATCAAGTACTTGAAAATGGAGAGTGCGTTTGCAGCCATCAAACGATTTACACACTATGCGTTATTACTTTTTTTGGTAGTTAAATAGTAAGCATGTTAATTTATTTAATATAAACTATTCTCGCTTAATAACACATTTCATTTGCTATATTAAACCATTCACAGTTGCCACAAACGAACCCAAAACCATTACGCTCCTGAGTATAAAATTTAAGTCGAATTTTAGGATACCAACGTAAGCGTTTGAAAGAATTTTCTAATTTCTTTCTCTTCCGTAATACCAAGTGAAAATTAAATTCATTGACGTCAAAAATCTTAATCCCCAGCTGCTCGTAATTACGAATTCGCATAGAGCGGGCTTTTCGCTAAATTTTTATAGCATTTTCAAATCCCCTTTGTTCATTAATTAACACAAGACTTTTGACGATTATTTTATATGTGAGGCTTAGTAGATGTCATATTGTATTTGATATCGGATTTGTGGCAAAGAACTGTCAGACGTAAATATAAAATACAGTATTGAAGTGAAATAGGTTTCGTAGCACTTTTAAATAATAGAATGTCTTTTTGTATATAAGCGATACGTAATGTTAAAGTATCCAATGAGACAAAAATTCATGTCCACTAAAGTTTGCTCAGAAAGCAAAGAAGCTTTATAAATTTATTTGACATTTAAATTTTGTCTCTGTGGTCTTAACTATCATATTAATTCAAGTTTATTTAAGGGGTTATAATTTAACATACATTATAATTAATATCATTATAATAAAACATACAAAACGTTGTCTCTGTAGAACCAAAGTAGATTAATAATAGCATAGTAGATATTAAACGCCCAAATATTCTCAGAGAACGATTCAAAGTGAGGTATTTCGTAATTGTTTAGCAAGTTACAAACTACAAAGACGGCACACTTGTGAAATTGAAAGTTGGAATGTTCATAAATCCACTTCAGCTACCGCAAAAGATGTTATTAAATTTTAAAACTTAGTTACAACGCCTCGTAAAGTTTTAATACACTCCGTATTAGCTGAGTTTGCTACAGACATTTTTATGCGCTGTGCGGATTATTAAGGAAATTGATTAAAAATGTATAATAATGTGCAACGAAATGTTAAAACATTTCGATTAGAGATAATAAAAAATATACAGGAAAGTATAACACAATATCCTATATAAATATATATTTTGTGCGGGTAAAGTAAACAATACACAAATAGAAACTTTTATTAAAGCTAGGTGGGTGGGGGTGTATTTTAATGACATGATATGTGAAAGCCGCCTCAATCAAGTGATAAAACTGTAGACGAAGGTCACTTCTGCCTACTGAAAAAGTATCTTAGGGAGTAATTTTAATTCAGTGTTTAAATATTTTCTGCTCTTCAGCAATGAGGAGTATCCGTATGGGGCGTATGGTGAGCAGGAACCTCGGGGCCTGCAGCCCCTTGAGTACGCAGCTGACGACCCCACCGCTAGGCACAACAAGTAAGTGGATGAAGCTTTTCAGCCTTTTTATTAAAAAAAACAAATCAAGCTAATTCTTAAGTGAAGCTGCATTATCAATTGTTCATTACATAATTTATGACAATGAAAAATATTTAGATGTATTGGAGTGAATAATAATGGATACTTTCAGGAAACCAACTGCCGGCAGCCGTCAAGTATCCCAGTTCTCGCGTTACTCCGATGTGATGCTTCCACCAGTTCGCCGTACCGTTTACCCGTTCATGGACTACCCTATCCCTGAATATATCCCATACTACTGAGCCCCTCCCTCGATCAGAGGCATCAGACATTCCCGGGGGCAACCCTCGTACAACTCTTCAGGCTTTAAAACCCATTTATATCAGTATTAATGGTCATATCTATACCATATCGCTTTCGCTTCTCGACGCGAGCTTTGCGTTATTTTTTTATAAGTGAAATTTTTTACGTAGATTCGAATTTTATCTAATATTTTTATAGTGTAAGATTAGATGTTTTAGGACTTCCATATGACAATAATGGCTTTTTATTAATATACAAGATCAATTAATTTCCCGTCAATTCGGCGAACGACAATAATAATCTACAATCGATGTTTAGTGTAAGATGTTTGTTAGTGATTATTGAACCTTGGAATCTTCTGTGGAATCCCACAATTGTATGTTCCGCGGCGTTCAGTCTGAGCCCGACGAAAACGTGGAATAACACTATACAGCTGTGCTACTCAAGTATATTTGTGTACCTGGCCATAACAGGATATCTAGTCGATATTTGTTTCACCTCAGCCAATTCAATTTAATCGCATTTATTTTAAAGTTAGTAGATCGTTTGAATACCATATAAATATCGTATTATAATATGATTAGACGCTAAGTACTTACTAAAACTTTCAAAAGCCTTCGAGACGGCAGTCGGTGTCGGCTGTGCTGTTTTCGATTGACGTTATATGGGTAGGCACAACTGGACACCGACAAAAATGCTTTAACTACATTTAAATGTTTCATGTTTATAGATTATTTGTAAATTAGCAGAAGTGCGACACGCGCTTATGTATTGATTAATACATAGGATTAGGTAAAGCAGCCTGATGCAAGTCCATACACAACAATAGAGTGAAACCAGAGGGCGCTTTACAGCGTATAATATTTTTTTATTTTAAAACTATATATATATATTATAGGCTGCGTAACGTTGTTAACTATTTGTGTATTATGTATTGTGTCAAATCTTTCGACTTGTATTACGACGAACCGTCGGCATAACTTACAGACTATGAAATTTGGCTTTAAAATATTGTATTACTTATTACAGCTTTAAGCTAGTCAATATTCGTTATCCTTCTATTTAAAATGGACAGTCGTCCCTTCCTACATTACTAATGTATACAATCGTTTATTTATATACAATATTTTAACAATATTCTGTAGAGATTTACAAACTTATTTTAATATCTATGGATCGATAGTTGAAATTGAGCATGTCATTCATATTCTGATCAATAATTAGGTGTTCTAATTGTAATTGGTGTACTTAGATGTGCATAACATATCCTGTCAGTGCGACATTTCTTATCATATCGAAACTAAAATTTTGAAAAATAATTTTTGTGAGTTAAGTATATAACTAATAAATGACAATAATATGCTGATATAGCATTGTAAATTATGACAATAAATTATATCTCTTGACAATAAAATGTTTAGAATGAGTGTAATTGTATTAAGATGTAATTATCTATAGAATTTAATGTTTAAATTTTAATTGGTGTTTCAATTTTTTGAAATAAAGATAGTTACATACTCCTGAGCACAAAGTTTTTTTATTTATATACCTAATTCCTCTTCATGCGTCAAACTTAACAGACTGCTGGCTTGTTTCTCGATAGATAATATATATAAAAAATAGGACTATTAAGTCCTTTTAACGTTTGTATAAGCCTCTTGCCTCTCGCCATTGCTGGCTTCGGCTTGCGAATTAACATCCGTCATCAAGGCATCTCGGAAATTTGTATTCTTTTAAAATAATATTATAATAGATATAATTGTAAGGGGTTCGGATTATACCTATTTACATTACTAGATTACTCAGGTTACTAATAGGTATTTATTTTATTTTACTATGGTTTTAGAACCGAAAGTCGCTATTTATAATAACAAATTTCGGAAACGGGCCATTATAAGCAGTAAGCTAGGATTTAATGTATTTTTAAGTTTTGTTTTGTTTTTCAAAATAAGCCAAAAATTAAACATCAAAAATTTTAATAAAATAAAATTTTTAAATCTATTTTTTTCTGATTTATAAAAAAAATATTAATTGGCTTGCAGAATTTAAAAACAACCATTTTTCTTAGCTCTCCAACAATGCCTAGCATTTAGGAACTTATTTCAAAGGAACTGAAATAAATTGATCACATACACTCACTCGTCAAGGTTTCTCGCATCGGTTTTCTAATCGCCGGTTACCTAAGATTTTAATGGACTATATAGGCGATTCCGAGTAACTGGTGGAGTTCAGAGACGACAAATTAATGCCTAAAGACCCCCCGATGTTGTTAATTACGAAGAGAAATTTATCAATGAACCAACAATTTCGACAAACACCGTCGCCACAGGACTCTCTGCAACACCACGGAAAGCATGGTCTGCAGTGCACAATGCAGGGTTCTATCCCTACCATTATACTCATGTGATTTTTTTTTATAGAACGGGCACGAGGCTCACCTGATGTTATGTGTTACTGCCCATAGACACTCACATTGCCACAGGGCTGGTAAGCGCTTTTAAGAACTGGAACGCTCTTTTCTTGAAGGACCCTAAGACTAATTCGTTCGCAAATTCTTCAGTGGGCAGCATGGTTCAAAAACAGCCTTAAAAAACGCTAAGTTGTGGAACGACGGACGTCGAGGTAATACGGTTGGATTTTCGTATTCTGCCTGACGTCCGATGATGAAACTCAGCTGCAGGTATTAAGTCGAACAACTCTTCTGAACACTATCCATGGTGAATGCGGTAGAATAGTGTCCCCACATCTCTACGCAACGCCAAGGGATCAAGCCGCTCGGAAAGGGATTGGTCGTCGACAATTCGAACCGCTCTTCGTAGAATACGGTTATTTAGTAGTAGGTACTTAGTACTATGAATAAACAACAATTTCAAAATATTTCACAATTAACCTGAGAAATCTTACACAATACAATCACATTATCTCGGCAGTAGTGGATTGCATCAATTGAAATGTGACTTTCATGATTGTCATTTGTCACATAAAAGTAATTTTGGGTTTTCTTACATAAGGTGTGTTTCTGGGTGTGCTTTAGGACATCAACAAAAGCGCTGAAGTTTATCCAACGACTTCTCGTGGCTACCTATTGACACTATTTGACCAATTTGTTTTTAACTCTTTTCAGCAAAAATTTGTATATTCTCAGGACAGTTGAGATTAGCCCTAGTTGAAAATCCGATCGGCAGTAAAATTGTTTTTGCTGTATATAATATTTGTCATTCAGAAGTAATTTAATTATTATTTGCCGTTTTGTTGAAACTGAATAATCTGTACGACGGCAGCACTTGTATTTTCAGAATTACACAAACTGGGAGCCAGTCTGCTCCCGCGATCTTATTATTATTCCAACTTGCAGGGTATATAATTTCATTAGCCGTATAATATCATATAAAAGTTGTTTAACTTGGGCACATCAGAGGCCGTAATGAGGGTCTCGTAGAACACTCTAAGATATATATTAGATATATTAATAGACTTCCACAAAATATAAAAAGTGCAGACAGCCTGGCAATATTTAAATTACGACTAAAAGACCATCTCCTACGTAAATGAAAGTCCATCCAAGTTCTACTAATTCATCCTTGAAGCTCTTCAATGACCCACGACGTGATAAATTGTATCTTTAGTATATAAGTTCTCATGTAAGTGACTATTGTCGGTTTGAGAATAAATGTCTTTAAACCTAAGATATATTTATGAAAAATATCTTCCCTGCCTCTTGTTTGTATAAAAACTGACTGCGATGCAAATTAAGATTTGCATATATTTATAAATACACGAAGTATCGCTACCCAAATCTAGTACTTTTTGTAAACTCCATTCTTGGATTTCCGAAAAGAGTTTGTTTTCTAAAACTCCATCGATAGCTTTTAACATTGCCTGTTCGTCCACCTCTCCACCCCTAGTTCCTTCCTTCTTGTCTGACCATTCCGTCTTTTTGTATTGCACTTATATTTTACTAACTAAAATAATATAATTTTCTTTACATTAGACATTTACGTGCCCTGTAAGCTACTGTATAAACCTACCCCATAACAAGAAAAAAATATTGCTACAAAAAAGCGAACCGTATATAGCATTATTCACAGATCAGTACACAAAGCTGACTTGTTGTTATTTGACTTGGCCCATGTTATCTTTTTAAATAAAATCAACCTGGATAATTTAGAGAGCAGCTTTTATTAAGACGTTAAAAGTGAGGTTATAAAATTAGTTACGCCTGGCCGAATCACGTTCCCGACTGCTGTCAAACTTTTCAGAAACCACACCCATCGGTAAGCTACTCATACACGGATAAGTTAATATGTTGATCCGCGCCTATCATCAGATGTATTTAGTGTATGAAGGTGCCCCTTGTACGACTCTACCCCACTTCCCCCTACTGAATTATTACAATTACTGGGCATTGAACTAGCCAGTAATGAAATAAAGAAGGCCGGCATTTGCTTAAGTGAACATACAACCTCCTTTAAAACCTAGTTAACAATACAACTGTAGAACTAAGATATTATTTTAAATAAACGATAAAACCAAAAACAATATGTAGTTATGGTAATAAAGTTTGCGGGAAAACTTTCTTTTACTCGGGTCTTCTTTCAAGAAATTTGGAAATATTACAAAGTTTTGGGAGTTACGCAAAACTTCGCCGTGGAACTTGTAATTGTGTGTGGTGATCGTTTCGAAACTACTTTCACAAGCGAAACTGAATTTATTTCAACAGAGTTTGTAGGTATGAAGGGCGCACTTAAAATAGTGATAAAAAGAAACACCATTGAAATTTTATTTATTAATATTGTTCTTGCCCAATACTTCAACCATCCAGTAACCATATAAAAAAACAAAATAAGACAAAAGTAAGAGGTAACTGTGTTTTTTTTGTATCGAGAAATTAATATTGTATTTTTTTTTTTAATTAGAGTCAACCATTAAATTAAACTGCAGAATCACTACATATTTAATGTTTTTAATGCAAACATCAATTTTGGTTATAGCCCGCTCT